AATTGTATTCTACTTTTACCCAGGTAACTGCCGACAAACGCAGGCCAGCATCGTCTGCTTCCCGAGTTTGGAAATGCATACCGCGCGTCGGCCTCGTCCGTTGTATATCCAGAAATAAAGACTATCCTGACCGGATAGCTCTTCACCGTTGAGAAATTATAACGGTGATTTAGTTTCCACATTGAACTTAAATGTATTTTGATAGAGTATGTAGCGCTACCAAAAGCAGTGCAATGTTTCGAAAAGCATTCCACTCTTTGCGGCGGACGCCTCACGACCCTGAGGTTCCGCACGTGTGCAGATTTTGAGACTCCGAAATACACTGGAGGCCATAGAACAAGTATCGAGTTTCGAACTCACTATTATTTTTAGAGGAAGTGCTTTTGATAAAACGTGGGAGTTACATAGGTGCCGTGTTTGCCATCCGAGTGTCAGTCTCGGCGGACTTTAGATGAGGTTATGAACCTCCTGTTAAGTCGGTTTATCAAACATAATGTTGGTTAACATTATAATTAACAGTGTCACGGCACAAATGGATTATTGAAGCCAACAACTATCAGAGGCTTAACCAATTTATAGATTTTGCAAAAAGGCCATAATTAGTGTCTTATAAATTCATCGGACACTTTTCGCGTTTCTAATCACAATTTCAATATTGCGCACATAGGTGAAGAGCTATACGGTCTGAATTGTTTTTATATCTGAACATACGACACACCAGGCCGACGCGCGTTAAGCATTCTAAAACTCGGAAAGCAGACGATGCAGGCCTGCACTCGTCGGCAGTTACCTGGGCAGTAGAGTGAAATTAAGAAGGCAGAACCACCACGTAACCGTAACGAGGATAAGGATGCCTGGAAGTCAAGATAATGTCCACTTCAAGTGAATAAAACATACTTTGAGGAGAGCGTTGAAGACCTTGTGGTGGCGTTTCACACCGTTAACGCCTCGCTGCTGAACGTCGGCGTGCGTCGCCCACGAGGCGGGCACCTAGAGGCGATATCCGAGAGGCTGATCTTCAAAAACAAATTCATCAGCAACAACAAAAAGTAATTTTCTGGATTTTTTTTTTATATGTTAAATGGATAATGCGGATTTAAATTTTGAGTGTTTTGAAAGCTCCAGCTAGCATTGCCCACGCTGCTTGGTCTGGCTCTAAATAGGACCATTTCTGCATAAACTGGAGATTTCGTCAATTAATTAAAATGCAGCCAAACAAGACTTTAAAATTTTATACATATGCATTAATGCATTCACATGTCTGCCATTCATCAATCGATGTATTTTAAACCCGAATAGAGACAATGTACTCCTGCCATGATAACATGAATAAAGGACAGTATCCACTGCCCAACGAGGTAGGGCAAAAATTCAGGGCCCGCTCTAGTACTCCCCTTTCTCTGTTTCATTTAAACATTCAATCAGCACGGAACAAGTTTGATGAGTTGAATATTTTTTAGACGATTTTGGTTTCTTTTTTGATTTTCTTATGTTAACCGAAACATGGTGCCGTTCTGAAGATACATGAACCCTTTGGATGGATGCACCGTTTATGACTTAAATCGCTGTTTAAAGCCGGGGGTGGTGTTTGTATTTACGCAAAAACTGCTTTCGAATGTACGGTCATAGATCAGTTGACTACTGTTACAGATGATTTTGAAATTATGATTTTAGAAAGTTCAAAATCTATATTATCTGTTATGTATCGTCCACCTAATGGTGATATGGACATGTTTTTTTGGAATTCCTAGAAAAAACTATTTATGTTCATCGGTGAAAACAATGTCGCTTTATATTTGGGCGGAGATTTTAATATAGATATGATGAGATCATTTCCTCGATAATTGCAGTTTTTGTCACTGTGCAATTCCTACGGTTCCTTTAATGCAATATCCGAACCAACTCGGGCAAATCATGCGAATGCGACGTTTCTAGACTTGTTCATAACAAATATTGATGATTCACGCCTAACTGCTGGTGTTATTGGGGCCACAATCAGTGACCGCCTGCCAATTTATTTGTTTGCCGATCTAAAATATGTGTCAAAAAAGTCATCGAACACAAATTACACTTTTCACCGAGATATAAGCTTAACAAGACGCAACTATTTTGAAGAGGAAATACAACTTACCAGCTAGAGCGCGGTTCTTTCCTGTGACTCAGCTGACCAGGCATATGACCTCTTTCTTGAAACGTTTACAAATATCTATAACCGGTGCTTTCCCTACAAGAAGTGTCCAGTGCATGGGTTACCAGTGCGGGGGTTACTTCGCAGATAATTAAAATGATGAATTGGAAGAATGCGCTTTATAATAAATTTCTGCACACTAGAGATTTGGGCGTCCTCCGCGAATTTAAAATGCAAAGGAACATGATAACAAGCGCTCTTCGTAAATCAAAGCGTGCATACCATTACCATATGTTTCAGGGTGAACCAAGAACGGATGTCATGTGAAAGAAAGTGGACATGCTGGTTAAACCTCACTCTCGCAATGACTCAATTAAAACGATCACTGTAAACGAGGAGTGCATAACTGGTGCCGCGTTGGCTGACAGATTCAATAATCATTTCGCGGACTTAGTTAACAGCGTTCGCTCTGTCAATGCTTGTGACCTAGTCGATAAAATTTCGAAGTGTTTTTCTTCTGCCTACTGATGACAGTTAATTAATATCAGCATTTAACAATTTTAGAAACAGTAAAAGTAACGACGTGCATGGCATTCATATCGAACCTGTAAAGCGTGTTATTCATACCATCGTCCCTTGTTTGACCCACATTTATAACTTAGCCGTTCAGGACGGGGTGTTTCCGAAAAGAATGCAAGTGGCCAAGGTGCCCGTCCTCCACAAGGCAGGGGATAAGAGCAACGTGGGTAATTACAGGCCTGTGTCTGTACTGCCGGTATTCTTTAAAGGACTAGAAAAGATTATGCACATGAGACTATATGCTTTCTGTGAAAAACGCTCAATTATTACACCTTGTCAATTCGGTTTCCGAAAGGGGTACTCGACAGAGTTGGCGCTACGAAAACAGAAAGAAGTGATACTTACAAACATCGAAAACAAACTGCTAACATTGGCAATATTTATTGATTTTTCGAAGGCATTCGATCGCCTTCACCATAAAACGTTACTGCAGAAACTGGACATTTGTGGCATCAAGGGACTTGCCCTGAACCTGATTGAAAGCTATTTGCAAGACCGTTATCAGTACGCTGAAATTGACGGGGAGCATTCAAACATGCGCCAAATAAAGGCAGGTGTACCGCAAGCGGGTATTCTCGGGCCCCTTTTTTTCAATATTTTTATAAATGACATAGTGAACTTAGATAATAGCGTCAACTACATAATATACGCAGATGATACAAGTTTGTTTTTCTCTGGAACTAACATTGACGTCAATATAGAAAGAGCAAATCGATTCTTGCAGAGTCTAAACGTTTGGACCACCGCAAATTCATTAACAGTAAATGTTGCAAAAACTAAGGCAGTTATTTTTTGTGCAAAAAAAAAAAAATACGAGCTGCACCAGAAACTTGCCGGGAGGGCTCTCTTTTGCCTCACGAGATGTGGAAATTGTAAAAAGTACTAAGGTGGTCGGCGTAATTTTTAATGAACATATGTTGTGGGATGAGACGGTGCAGGACACAACCATAAAGCTCTGAAAGGTTGTAGGCGTTTTGTATAAATACCGTATATCTTACCATCTTCAGTAATGCTGCTTATATATCACGCCCTGTTTTGCTCATATTTGAATCACTATTTCCTGGCTTGAGGTACTACTTCGAAAACGAATGTTCAGAGACTTTTTTTAATGCAGAAGAGGGAAATACGAATAATATGTAATGTAGCGTATGATCACTCCACGAAAGCTTTGTTTAAAAATCTTGACACGTTAAAAATCACGAATTACTATAGTTATAAGCTTGTGATGTATATAAAAGATCATTAAACAACTCTGTTAGCGTTTTCAATTCAGCATCCAGTTTGGAGTCGCGGGACGCAACATACAGCACTCGTCATTCTCGAAACTGGGCCGCACCGCGCTCCAGACGAAATTATGGTGACCAGAGACTGGTTTTTACTCTCCCGAGAATTTTAAGCAACCTTGAGGCAAAGGGAATTTCCGTGGCAAACACAAGCAAAAAGGAAATTCGTGGCCTATTTGAGCGATCTATTGAATAGATGTCATGCTTTGAAGGTATAGAGACAGTTGCGTATATATTTTTGAAAGTCAATGTGCATTGTTGTGTGCTTCCTACTAAACTCTCGGAGCAAGCATGTGCAACTCTGAATTATGTTTACCTTGTTTAATCATTTACGCCGTATATAATTGACACCACTGACCTGTATAAACACTGAATTACCTGTCTTTATATATGTTAAATTGTTCTTTCACTCATATGTTGTGTTTCTTCTGCGGATGTAAAGGGGAGGCGGGGGCTTCGTCGAGGAACGACATGCTGCTTTTTTTCCCTGTCTTCCCCTCTCAGATAAAGAAAAAATAAAATTGATTGAGTGATTGATTGATTGATTGATTGATTGATAGTTTTATGAGAACAAACGAAAAAAGTATTGTAGCAAACACCCAAATTCAAGTTGACAAAAAAAAAATCATAAAGTTTCTTTTTAACTCGTATTTGGAACCAAAATGGCGTCTTTCAAAGTTTGTATTTTAGTGTAAGTGAGGGCATATTATTAAGTAATTAGGCGCCATTCTATATTTGTGTGGTATTGAACCTTTTTTTACCCAATGTTTTGCTTAACTACATGAGTTTATGAAAATTCCAGAAATTTAAAGCATGCATATGCTTGCTTCATGCATATGTATGCTGCAGAAAGTATTCGTGGACCAATATGTCAGGACGGTCATACAAACAGGAAGCACGCCTTAGTGTCTGCAAACTGTCTGAGCGTGGCTTTACGTCGCGTGGTGTGTGCGAGCTTTCCCGCCCATGACAAAGACCTTGGCCTAATTTGCTTCCTTTTCGTTTCGCAGAGAGTGCCCTGGCTGCCGGTGCTGTGCCCCTCGTCGCCGTCCTGGCGACGCTCTTCTTTCTGCTTGCTGTCACCGGGGCCGTCACCTGGTACCGGTGTCGACTGAGAAAGAGAACGCGCGCCGGCTTGCCCTTCTGGAGCATCGAGCTGCGGGAGGACAAGTCGGGACAGGGCCCCGACTGCCCGTACCAGCACCTGGATGCCGCGTCCAGTCGCGTCGTCGTGCAGGGCCACAGCGACGAGGACGCCTCCGCAGACGCCAGCACACCGAAGGTGACTAAGGAGTCCAAGACCCCTTCTTGCAAGGAGGCGCCGCTGGAAGACGTCTGATACCTTCCCGGACAAAGGGTGTACCGGAATCGTGATGTGTATACGAGTGACATCGAGTGGGGCCATGGCGATGAAGACGTTTCCTCAAACGCCAACGCACCAAAGGTGATCAGGGAGACCAAGACGTCTTCTTGCAAAACGGCGCCGCTGGAAGACGTCTTATACCCCCCGGACAAAGAGTGACGAAGAATCAAGACGTGTATACAAGTCACCTCGAGTGGCTTCACAAGTTGGTGCATCGTTTGCATTACAACTGTGTTACACGGCCGCGAATTTGTGTAAGCATCGTTTCGAAGGATTGTGAGGGCATCGACAGCAAGCGTTCATGATGACATCGACAGTAGTGCGACAGGACAGATGTGTGTCGTTGATGTCTGCATCGGGGGAAAACTGGTGTTTGGATGACTAGGAGCGCGGACGAAAAGTTATACGGTATGATGTGCTGGCAGGATACCGTCATAAAGAAGGAAAATCAAATGTCCCACCTCGTCGTACCGAAGGGATCGTGAAAAAGCTGAAACCGAAAGTGCGGTAACGATCGATCTTGAGAAGCGCTTGGGAGGATTCCCGTGGGAATCAGTTATGCACAGAAAGGAACGCCAAGGTGAAGTACCATAATATACCACTGGGAGTTACGCGGGCGACGGGAGAAATGCCGAGTCATACCCAGGTAATATCAGAGGTAACCTATGCTGTCAACACGGCGAATGTGCAGTCTCCGGAATGTTATCCTGGATGGAAATAGCTATAGCCTCGAGGTGCATATAGCCGAAGAGTGAAAGAGTCATAAAGCTGGATTTTATGACAGGTAGGGCCGACTGGAAGAAATCATGCTGTGACTTAATCAGGTTTCGGGTTTATCCAATTGTCCCAAGAGAACAGCGGCTATGCACGCATACCGAAGGTGGCGTCAATATAAATCTTGTAAGCCTGTTCAGAAAATTTGTATGAGGAGGTCCTTTGGTGAACACGTTTGATAGATTTGTGATACCGGTGACGGGAGAACACACTGCACATTTATGTAAGCCACGGAGAAAGCCAGACTGAATGCAGTCACAAATGCATCACTGGGAGGATGACAGAACTTTTTTTTCATCATTATGTTTTTGTTTTTTTTGTTTTTTTTTTGTTTTACTAATTTCATTTTAAGCAGGAATGTGTGTGCCTTTGCTTTCTGTCTGGATATTGGGATACTGAAGTTGAGTGAACAAATAGCGTTATATGAAGAACTTCCTCTTGTATTGATATACTGTTGTAGTTGGAATGTGAGCTTCAGGGGGGGGGGGGGGGGGGGGGGGCGTCTCTTATTCTACGTACCAGTGTAAAGAAAAAAAAAGTCCTGCTTATACTGGAATTTAGACATCAGAGCACATTTCATTTTCGTACATTTAAAATGTTGTTTCTAAACTGTTTTATGACCCCACGAGTTTGAAAGCTACTTTCAAAATATACCATTTTTGAGAACATTATAACCCTCGGAAACACTATCGGTCCCGAACAAGCAGTAAGTTGTTTTACCGATGTCTGAATGCTTATTGGAGATTACTAAACGCATTTACTCATTCAGAAGGAAGGAAACTTATTACTCCAAGTAATATTTGCCACTATTTATAAAACCAAATCGCCAGCAATTCAGTAATGTGTCATTCATGCAAAAGCACTCATACACTTCAGTTATAAGCAAGTTAACCTCGATGATATTTTGAAGTTAATAAGACTTGATCTCACATCATAAAAAATCTTCCTGCAAAGCTTCATCAGCTATGTCCATCAAGGAACACCCTAGCTGGTGTTAAATATTTATAAAGATTTTATTTTCGGAAGCTGATAAAAACCCAGTTTTGTCTAAACAATTTTGAAGTTTCAGCATAAATGTTTGAGTCGGACAATGGCACAATGAGCAGTCATGCCTGGTTCCCTTCAAATGAGACATTAAGCTCGGAATACTTTGAAGCTTTTCATGAGCATATTTATAATTAATGATGAACGTCGTCAGCATTATAATTTTTCAAAAAATATTAGTGTGCAACTAAATTAGTAACAATAATCTTAACTAGAAGCGAAATATTTTCTTTTGTAACATCCGGGAATATCGAGCTCCGTCCCAAAGTTTTTCAAATACGAGCATGTTCCACAGCTAGTGGCATGTGCATGAGGGCGAGTAACTGGCCAACACATGCCTTTTTCTTCAACATGCCGACGACGCGAATCCCCTTAACTAACTGGTTATGTAAGTTAAAGATGAGATCGCATTAGATTTTTGACTTCCAATAACAATTTTAGATACGGACGTAAGTTCCTTAAGCTATCTATGTGTTCACCTGAACGTGCAGCCCAACAAGGTATGAGCGACTATCAACATGCTTCTTTGACCTACAAGCAGCATGCTATTGGAAAGGTATTGAAGCAAGTCGATACTGAGCCTGCGTCAGCTTGACTTAAGGAACAAAAAAGTTGCTGATCCCCACTCACATAAATGCTATGGTATACCAGGGAGACACTTTGCTCACCCTGCAGAGGTTCGCAAAAGTTTCTAGGCTAGTTCAAATCCGAAATACGCAAAGGGTTCTAGACCATTCGGAACCCCGAATTCCTGCAACGTTAAGTTTTATGGCTGCAAAAGGAGTCATCTATCGGACTTAGCAGTAACTAGAGTCACCTCCCAGAGCTGAAACGATGTCCGGTTATAGGATCCTCTTACCATTGGTCGATGCCGTCCTCCCAAACCAGAAAGTAACCGAGCCGACGTTTGGAAAAGCTCGCAAAGCGAGCAGCACGCTCCTGCCGAGAATTTCAAAAGGCATTTGCGGGTTCCGGTGTCCACAGCAGTCGAACAACACATAGCACACACAATTCACCAATCATAATTTACTTCCTTTTTTATTGCAGAAACGGATGTAGGCGCTACTATGCAACAGTCGTTTTCCCGTCCCCAAACTCGGTTCTCTCCTTAGAAACTTCTTTTTGTTACACGGAAAGGTCAAAGTGCTCAGAGACGCGCCGCCTACGCCTGTCCTAAGGATACCAATGAGTGGTTCCGGTCTGTAGAATTTTATTTTTGCTATACACTGAACTGTTGGTCGGCCACTACGAGCCTGGTGATACCTATGGGCAGTGGACACTAATGAGGCACTGTCCACCTGCCCCCGTTGTGGATCCTTGCACGACTATTGCTGAATGTCAGCTCTGTAATTTATGCAGTTCCCTTGTACAGAGTTTTGTGGTCTTTGTTCGGAAGATTATTTGTTTTGTATACAGTATTCATGATTCTTAAATTGTGTGTCAAAAACAATTTAGATAAAACTGCAACTATGTTTTATGTCACCTGTCTTCAGTGCTCGCAAAGCCACGGATGCGAGACGATGGCTCTGCGGCTTGCTTTCTGCGCACGACCACTGGTGCGTAGAAAGTGCTTTCAAAAACCACGTGCAAGTGTTCACCCCTTTGGTGGTGATGGTGGCTGCTGATGAGAGCTTCTTTGATAAAGTATAACACGAACCATGGCTTAAGAGAACAATATTTGTAAAGCTACTCGTCTATTTATGCTTGACCTAAACATATTTGGTGTTTTTCTTTATTTTTTGAAAAAAGAAACGCGAGAGTAAACATAAATATATAGTTTGGACATGCATTCGGTTTACAAAGAGTTTAAAGGGGCCATGAAACGAATTTTGGGTCGGGATGAATGTTTTTAAATTGGGACTTTACTAATCGCATATCGTTTAGTTGGCCAAAAGAAAGAGGCTAGCAAGTCAAAAGCCAGCTTTTCGGTACGAACATTTGAAAATATAGCGGACTATTTTGTACCTTCTTGCCTTCGAAAGCTCTCCGCCTTTTCACTATGATACATCCGCGGTTCCAAAAGCGCGTCACCGGCGCCAACCTGGCGTCAGCAGAGCCGAGCTCACGCATTGGACACGAGAACTGCTTCACTCGGACGTATCCGCTCGTCAACAATCAATCCGTCGACGAATATTTGGATTCGCGTTCGTGGCCAATGAGTGCCCTGACGGAACTTATTGGCACTGGGGAATGACAAGCTCTATGGTGTGCATAAAAAACACGGTGGAAGCTAGGATTCATCGCACCGGTGCCGAAGGAATGTCACGACCACGTGATTTCACAATTCGCATTTGAGTTGAGGATTAAAGCTTCAGAAGGAAGAAGTAGGAAAATCGTTTCATGACCCCTTTAAACTGGGCAGTACGTTTTTATTTCTGTTTTTGAAACAGCAACGTCCCTAAAAAACTTTTGGTTTGTTTTTTTCTTGTTGTTCAGTCCGTTTAGGAGTCAAACTGGTTATCTTGACGTACTTTGCGTTTTTTTTTTTTTATTTGTCAATTACTAATGGTGAACGTTATCTTCAGCCTACAAAACAGAACAAAATCATTGCTAGAGTAGCTTCTCGTCTTTGCTTCGTGCACGGCCCTTTTTATTAAAAGCACAATGCATTGTTTCGGCACGCTACTTCCATTATGTGTGATCAACGGAAAAGCGGCAGGCTACGTTACACGACACGAGCTGTGTTTAGTTTCTGTAAGCACGCACACGCGCTGTACATACGCCAAGCACAAGCATGCACCCTTGGACGAAGCGCCTGACAAGTGACTGACACGTCGCGAGGGTTTTACGTGTTCCGGATCGACGCACTGGGTTTGTGAAGAGGCTTGTGAGGAAAGGGTTGTACATATTACGAAGGGAGGGGGGGGGGGGGGGGGGGAAGGGAGGGGGATGTTGTTTTTTTTTTTTTTTGCCTAGTCACAACTCGTGCTCTTCACCGCACGCGACATTGCCATCAAAGTTTGTCCCTTCGGGAGACCCCTGTATTTATTTCAGCCAACAATAAAAAAAAAAATTTCACTTGCCAAAAAAAGAAAGGTAAAGTATTGTCTCCATGCTACTTTTGATCACGTGTGACGACGCTTTTATTTCAAGGTCGGAAATTCTCGCACGCCTGTCCTGTCTGTCCCTCTTTACGCCAAGTGCGGAGACACCCTTTGCACAAACTCACTGTACGGACAAACGGCGGGAGCTCACGTGCAGAACGCATGTACCGAGATCAAATTAAACCAAGGACATGGTGCAGAATGCTCCGTTCGCGTTTTTAAAACGTGAAAAAAAAAAAAAAAAAGACAGCACTAGCTCGAGTCACCTACAGCTGAGCATCTCATGATCTCCCCTCAGCCAATCAGGTTGCGTCATCGGTCGATAAAAACGCCGAAAAACCAATCGCGAGGCAAGGAGCGCGAACATAATAAGCCACACTCTGCGTTTCTTAAGTTCTCAGGGACTATGCGGAGGGCAAGTTTGTCTGCTTCTTGCACAGGGGTTGCAATAATGTCAGAACGCCGAGCTCTTCCTGACTGATTGAAAAATAAAGAAATGGTGGGTAGACCTCAAGGCATCTAGCATTGAGGTCTTCACACTATCCTTAGATTCAAAGCCTATCATGGCTCGGCGTCGTTTTGACGTGACCGCAACTCCTGCGTAAGAAGCAAACGACTTGCTCTCCGCCGGAGCCGAATATAGAGAGAGTTTGGCCATTCACTGGAACGTATAGGAGGCAAATGAGGAGGCGCAATTGGCCGATTGAGCGCTGGGCGTCTGCAAGGACGTCTTCACAGATTCGAATGTGGCCAGCCAGTAACCGCGAATTATACCCTGGCGGTGGTCGAGAGAAACAAAATTAATAATTGTGTCAGGGTAACTCTCGGTGGCTGAAAATATGGTGCACGTGATTTTCGAATTCCGATCATTCAAAAGCAGAATCTAGGGGAACGA